AACCATATTCCACATAAATAATGATAATTATTTAGCCTGATAGCACGTCAGATTCATATATTTACTTACTACGACACACACACACACACACACACACAGACACACTCCATGTGTTACTGCTTTACATATGATATTTCCTGGGGGCTGGAAGACAAATGTTCTAAATGGAAGAGTAATATGAAGGTCTAGTGGAGTATTAATTCAGCACAGCAGTCATTCATCATACAGGCGGCCTGGTCCTGTCTTGGCTCCATGGGCCTTCACTAACTCATACTCCTAACAACAGGCCACAAGAGCTCAGTTCACTTAAACCACACACACACACACACACACACACACACCTCTAAATGGGTTAACTAAATAAATAATTGCATAAGATGATAGTCCAAAGTTAGTCAACACTTTAATACCGCAAATCGATTAACAGTAATACATATGCAATATATGCAATCTCATGCAATGTGATTTAGTAAGATTTGTGGCAGTGAATTAACTGGTATTAGTGCCAAAAACGCCCCAAAAAAATCATGTCTTAACCCATATTGTGCTTGACATGGCTGCAATAGTTGCTAATTTGCACTGCTTTTGGTACTTTTTTTTTTTTTTGGTAACTATAGAAATGATCTGGCTGTGTCTGTGTTCTTTATTTCATGCATTGCCAGTAGATCACACACAGAACTATATATATATATATTTCAATCAAGACAACTCTCTGAACATTTTAGCATGGTGATGGATATGACAATGTTAATGTATTTGGTCTCGGCGGAATAGATCTGCTACGCTGCTGCTGAATTGGAAGGCAGTAAGCTCATTGGCTGCATATGCATATATATGACTGCCTTAAGTCTGGAACTCATGGACATCACCAAAGACATCCTCCTTTGTGATGCTTTGCCAGGCCTTTACTGCAGCTGACTTCAGTTGTTGTTTGTTTGTGGGTCTTTCTGCCTTTAGTTTTGTCTTCAGCAAGTGAAATGCATACTCAATCGGATTGGGATCAGGAGATTGACTTGGCCATTGCAGAATATTCCACTTTTTTACCTTCAAAAACTCTTGGGTTGCTTTTGCTGTATGTTTTGGGTCATCGTCCATTTGTACTATGAAGCGCCGCCCAATAAACTTTGCCGCATTTGACTGAATCTGGGCAGACAGTATATCGCTGTACACTTCAGAATTCTTCCGGCTGCTTCTGTCCTCTGTCTCATCATCAATAAACACCAGTAAGCCAGTGCCACTGAAGCCATGCATGCTCATGCCTTCAGACTGCTCCACCATGTTTCACAGATGATGTTGTATGCTTTGGATCATGAGCTTTTCTAAGCCTTCTTCATACTTTTTTCTTCCTGTTATTCTGGTACAGGTTGATCTTAATTTCAGCCGTCCAAAGAATGCTTTTCCAGAAGTGGCCTGGCTTTTTTAGATGTTTTTTTGGCAAAGTCTAGTCTGGCCTTGTTTGCATCTTGTGGTAAACCCTCTGTATTTGCTCTGGTGAAGTCTTCTCTTGGTTGTAGACTTTGACAGTGACACACCTACCTCCTGGAGAGTGGTCTTCACTTGGTTGGATGTTGTGAAAGGGTTTTTCTTTACCATGGAGAGGATTCTCCGATCATCCGCCACTGTTGTCCTCCGTGGACATCCAGGCCTTTTTATGTTGCAGAACTCACCAGTGCATTCTTTTTTTCTCAGAATGTACCAAACTGTTGATTTGGCCACTCCGAATGTTCCTGCTATCTCTCTAATGGATTTGTTTTGTTTTTGAAGCCTAACAATTGTCTGTTTCACTTGTATGGAGAGCTCCTTTGACCTCATGATGTGGGTTCACAGCAACAGCTTCCAAATGCAAATGGCACACTTAGAATCAACTCCAGCTTAATTGATGTAGAGATAACGAAGGAATAGCCCACGCCTGTCCATGAAACAGCTTTTGAGTCCAATTACTTATGGTTCCTTGAAAAAGGGGGGAGGTACATATTAAAAAGCTGTAATTCCTTGTTATTTTAAATTGTAATCATATGTCACAATATTACTGTTTTTGCTGTATTTTGATCAAATAAATGTAGCCTTGGTGAGCATGAGACTTAACCTTAAAAAATATATATTTTATCAAACTTTTATACAGTTGTGTTTTAGCTGTTTCCTGAATTGTTTCAAAGTTTACATTTTGTTGAAAAGTCTATAATGGGCTATTTAATATCATACATATCATACTAGTAAACTAATTATCATCAAACATACTGAACATTACATCTTGGAAATTTCAATATCTTTTTTGTAGCCAATTTCAACAAATTATTAATTAGCATTTAACACAGGAATGCTGCTGGTCAGTTTCCTGCAAACAAACTGTACTACTGTATGCTAATAGAGGACCAGGAGAAAATTGGTTTAAACATTTGTCATTTTGCATTAAAAAATAAGTAGCCTACGTAAATTAATAAGTAAATAAAAAAATAGCAATTCCCTTCGTCACTGTTCTTAATAACCTAAAAACTGTCTGGATTGCACAAGTGCCGTGTTTTGGTGGTCGGGTGCCATGGAGAGAGAACTGAACATCACACACTATCACAGTGTGTGTGTGTGTGTGCAGGCAGGAATGTGAGGGATTTGAGGGGGTGGAGTGTTTAGGAGGTTGTAGAGGAGTGGCATGAGACCCACACACCCTGAGATGAGCCAACCAACAGGGTTAGCTGAGGAGAACCAACCAACTCCATCAATCACAAGAACATGAACAACACACTACAATCACTGTCAGGGAGAAAATACACATGGAAACGAGCGAAGATGAGAGAGCACGAGTGTCAGAGAGATGTTCTTTAACATGTGTTTGTGTTTGCTGTGTGTTTGTGGTATTATAATGTTGACAATGAGAGATGGGGGATTATGGGAGTTTTCCTTCTCAACCTTCATAAATCAAGGAGAATAAGACATGGCACCACACTGCCAACCAAAGCCCTAAACCGTAATCTCACACATGCACGCACATAAACACACACACCACAGGACGAATGAGTGCTAAGTGATGGAGCGATCAGTCTCACTATTGCGCTCTCTCACACGTGAACATTCAAACAGCCACAAACACTCCTACTCGTATCCTATTTGTCCCTAAATACACAAACATCCAAGACGTGATCTCACAGCAGTAACAAGACTAGCTTCAGAAAGTCTGAGCCTATTGTCTTCATAATCCCCTAAATCTGCCGCGCAGCCGCCAGTCAGACCTGATCTTTGTGTCTGGACTGATTCCAGTTTCAGACATTAACTGGAAACTCCATATGAATCAGCAAATTACATGACAATATTACCTCAATGGGTAGTCATCTACACAGCACTGATTGGACAGAGGGCCGGTCGACAAGAAACCTAATTAGTGTGAAAATATAATCAGCCTGCTTTTGAGACAGAAGCAGAAGTATATCTTATTCAGAATGTTTTTTAAAGGTTTTAAAAAAGTGGACGTATATGTATAATGTAATATCTCAATGTTACTTTTAACAAGCAGTGTTGGGGAAAGTTACTTTTAAAAGTAATGCATTACAATATTGCGTTACTCTCTAAAAAAGTAACTAATTACGTTACTTAGTTACTTTTTATGGAAAGTAATGTGTTACGTTAATTTTGAGTGACTTTTTAAATCTGGGCACGGCTTGCTTGTTTGTTTTTAATATAAAAAGTTATTCTTTTACAAATGTAAAAGCCTTTCACACCAAAAGTTAAATGAATACACCTCAGGCTGAAGGAAATGTAAATTCATGTCTGTACAGTAGAGCAGCTCAAACAAATTGCATGAAGAATATTACACAGGAGAAGAAAGTTCAACACTATTCAGAAATAACAAAAATGAAACACAAATGTGCAATGTGTCATTTTTGCTTAGTATGGTTAAATTGGATCATCGAATGTCAGTAGCAAAGACATTGGTTAATAAAATGGGATTAAATACATACTGTAAATGATATTTGTCTTATTTAATATATTTAATTTTATTGCAGGTTTGTATAATATTCTGAGTTTGCATTTGAATACTGAATCTGTGTTTGTGCAGGTGAGATGAGTAAATGCATGTTCATATTTGTGACCCTGGAGCACAAAACCAGTCTTAAGTCGCTGGGGTATATTTGTAGCAATAGCCAAAAATACATTGTATGGGTCAAAATTATTGATTTTTTTTAATGCCAAAAATCATTAGGATATTAAGTAAAGATCATGTTCCATGAAGATATTTAGTAAATTTCCTACTGTAAATATATTAGAACTTAATTTTTGATTAGTAATATGCATTGCTAAGAACTTCATTTGGACAACTTCAAAGGCGATTTTCTCAATATTTTGATTTTTTTTGCACCCTCAGAGTCCAGATTTTCAAATAGTTGTATCTCGGCCAAATATATAATATAAATCTCAATTTCGAAAACTTGACCTTTATGACTGTTTTGTGGTCCAGGGTCACATTTAGTCTAGAACTACAGTAAGCATCATGTTCACACAGCATGCACAATGCCTCTGCACTTACTTCTGATTTCTCTCAACATGGCAACACGAGAGCTGTCAGTCAATACATGGAAAACAAAGTAACTGCCGTAACTTATTTGGAAAAGTAACTCAGATATTTCCTTCTAAATTAAAAAATAATGCGTTACTTTACTAGTTACTTTAAAAAAAGTAATCTGATTGCGTAACTCGCATTACTTGTAATGCATTACCCCCAACACGGTTAACAAGTCTGAATTTTTGAGGCATGCACAAAAAAAAAAATTTTACTTGATATTACAACATGTGCTTTTACATTCACAAAGTTCACACTTTATTCACATTGGCTTGACAGACTCACCACTGATTTTGTAGTATGTTCAGTAAAAACCTAATGAACAAAAACTAGAAAATATGCAACAACTATTATCCAGATTTATTATTAATTTTAAAGCCATTATTCCAAATGTTATTTGGCTTCAGGGACAACTCTACTGGAAATAGTTTTTTCTGTGCATGTATGCTCACCACAGAGAATTCTTCACATGTCATGTTACTTCTATGACAGACTGGCTGTGAGCCTATTGCCCTTTTGGAGAATTATGATCTGTCTTTTATTTCCATTAACCACCACCCAAACCACCGCCGTTTCTTTCTCTTTCTGTCTCTCTTTGTTTCTGTTCTGGTTTCCGCTCTGGTCTCAGCTGGTTGGTGGTGATAGCATCTCCCAGGCTCTGGACTTCCTCCTCTAAAGCCAGCGCACTTAGAGAGTCTCTGTCTGGACGGTTAGCGGCTGGTGACCAGAGACTCATCTCAGCACTCCAGACATGCACTGATGAAGAAGGAAAAGAGGATTGGAGGGAGGGGGGATGGTGTTAATAAGCAATAATTCACTATGTGTTATTGACTAAATGTCTTTGAGTGTGTGCCAGAGGAAATATGTCTTATTAACTCTTGTCAAGGGTGATGGCACAAGGTCAGCTGCTTTAGACATTTACTCCTCTCCTCCACTTTAATCTCTCCGTCATTTTGTCTGTCTGTCTGTCTGTCCGTAAGTTTCAGTTTGAGCTCTGTTGGCTTTTACAGAAGCAAGACTGTACTCTGGCTTCAGTGGTACATCAGGCTCTGATTCGTCAAGTTTCAATTTGATTTCAAGTTGAGTTCAGTTTCCTCTGTGGAGTAAAAGAGTACAGTATCTGCTATAGCATTCAGGAACAGATAGCATACAACAATATTCATTATTTTACTTAACTTTACTCTGTAGTAATGAAAAGTGCAAAATTAAATATTCAAACATATCACAATTTAAACAAACATGACAGCATTGCATCTTTCTTATCTAAAGTAACAAAACAAATTCATTTTTTATCACACTGCCCATTAAAAGGGAAATAAACATCCTCTGAATTAATAAAAAATATTTAAACATTTTGCAACTAATTTAGTGATGTGCTTTTTTTTTAGTGTGTGTCCGGTTGTACTGGCATGCAGCAGAATTCCTCAGCATGCTGTCCTGGCCGGCTTGGTGGACATTGACCACGGCTGCTAAGGATAAACTCCCACTCGACAGCAGAAGGACAAACACACTCTATTTTTCTTGGTTAGATTTAAACACTGCATATTATGCCTCTTGTGTTAATGATTGAAACCATGAGCTCTCTTGGTCCTCTCTGAGGTTGACCAGTACTGAAAAGTACACACAGAAATCACACTTCTAGGCATGTACTTATATTGTCATTCACACACACACACACACACACACACACACACACACACAGTCCAACAACACAGACGGAACAAGATTGCCTTCATTAGATAAAAACGTATGTGCATGCAGAAATAGTATAAAGCTAAAAGAAAAAACTTGCTTTGTCACTCACCCACCCACACACACACAAATACATATATATTCAGAAATATGATTTTATATAACTTGTTCCTGAGGGGGGAAAAAAACACGGCACAATACTACGTTGGTTATAATGGCAATGACAGAGTAGAGAGTTATTCTGAAAACTAAACAGGCTCCATGTGAAATCACAGGTTTGGAGTGGTATGTCATCACATTGAAAAATTGACTGACTCACTAGAGAGTCTCGTATTCTGGCCTTTTATTTTGCTGTGCTCATTCCGGCACTGCTGAGGGCCTTGCCTGGCTCGCGTCTCCAACCTGAGCTGTGCGCGAGTCTACTCGGAGCATAATCGGTGTGTGAACAGAGGACTAAGCCTTAGCCAGTGTTGATCAAGCAACTTGGCCAAAGAGGAATTGTCCTCACAAACAAAGGTTTTAAAGTCTGTTTTGATATTTGCAACTCGGGACTTAATGTTTGGACTTTGGACCCCGTTGTTCCAAGCCCCCTTTTTGGGCTGTGTCTATTGTTATATAAACTACGTTTGAAGTACACAGAAATTAGCAGTCTGTTCTTGGACTGAATAGCGTCTTTATGCACTTATGTAATGACTGGACAGCTTGAACAGCACAGACTAGAGGAAAAAAAGGAATCATGGGTTGAGGTTGAGCGGGGTGGAGGTCGAGGGGTCACAGGCTGATACGAGTTCAGCTAAAGATGACCTTGTGTGCAGGTGAGGTCTATATGACCCTTAAAGCACACACTAACTTATCTGTGAACTTTGCACAGCACTGTGGAGGTTATGGAAAAGAGAAGGAGCAGAAGAAAAGAAAAAGAAACAGAGAGAATGAACGAGAGGAATGTGATGTGAATAACACTTGTATGTGAAAGTATTGTCTGAAGGAGAGTGATCTTCAAAGTGGAAGCCAGTGGTTTGGGTGGTTATATGAACTTATGTTGAGTTTGTTCATCATTAGTGATGTTTGCTCTGAAGGCGGTCCAGTAATGGGTATTAAAAGGTTGTTTGAAACATCCTGGAGCACGAGGAAAGTGTCTATATGCTGGGTTGATCTCACACAATGGACATAGTGACTGAGGACTCACCTTCACCCAAACACCTGTGTGAAAACATGCCACCACATCCTAGAGACAGAAGACAGGTAAACACTGAACATGGCCTACATTGCTAGCAGTGGGTTTGACAGCTTTACATGGCTCCAGGGTATGAAAAATGGTAATCCGAAAAAAGAATAATAAAAAGGAAAAAGTGCTTAGAAAAAAAGCAAATCAATCGTTAATATTTTTTAAAAGACTGAGAAAAATACCAAATGGAAAACAGTCGCAATGCTTTAGCAATTGGCTAGTTAGTGAGGTCGTCTAGTTTTAGATTAATTTATTCTTTTAAGATTTGATATTTTAGTAGTGGAGGTGTAATTGGAGTCTTTAAATGCATTCCTTTTAAAACATCTCAGCTACACCACCATTAAAAAATATGATTTTTTTTGTTAGTTTTATTTCGTAAGGAAGCATTAAATTGATCAAAAGTGACCGTAAAGACACTTGTAAATGTTAAAAAAGATTTCTATTTCAAATAAATGAGAGAAATCTTCAAAGAGATGTTTTTTCATACTGAAAAAAATCATGCTTTCCACAAAAATTATTATTATGCACCACAGCCATTTTCAACATTGATAATATATATATACAAAAAAAACTTCAGCAACAAATCAGCATATTAGAATGATTTATGATGAGTCATGTGACCCTAAAGACTGGAGTGGTGGTGTAATAGGAAACAGTTTGTTTAAATTGTAATAATATTTTAGTTTAATTTGTATTTTGGATCAAATAAACACAGCCCTACTTTTTTGGGGGAAAAAATTCAACCCCAAACAAGTTAAAAGCAGTTTTATAAATGTGCCACAAGATCTCATGCATTCTTTTCAGTTGTTTCTGAAAGCAACAATGTGTCTTATGTAAACGCCCCCTTAAAAATGTCTGGTGAAGGCAAGGTGAACATGAAACAGCTCATTTACACAGGGCTTTGTAAAGACTAATTAGTTAACCATCAGATTTGAATGTAGGTTTGCACATCCTTATAATAAAATCCCAACCATACATCTTGCAGAAGTCTTCTGAGGGTATCTGTGTGTGTGGTCATCTGTGACTAATGATCTGTTAGTCGCACACTCACAGATGCACTTCCTGAGATTTTTTGAAAATGTATCATGTAAAAGTGTGTAAGATTACACAAGATATACATTGAGATCTGTGAAGATTTTCTAGCAGATGTATTTCAGAGGAAGTGTCTCTAGGCTCTTAAAAATAAAGGTTCCAAAAGGGAGTTTTCAGTGATGCTATAGAAGAAACACATTGGATTCCTCAAAGAAGCAAGTGAACAGTTCTTAAAAGAACCATTTTCCTTATGTTAAGAACATTTTAATGATATGAAGAACCCTTTTTCCATTATAAAGAACCTTTTTTGCAATGGTTCCATGGATGTAAAAGGTTCTTCATGCAATAGTCACTATTTCAAATATACAGTATTATGATTTGCCTAAAGTGAATGTAATCTACGTAGATGCTGCATAAAACCAGCAAATAGTGTTTTTCTTGACTTTTAAATGCTGCACAGAGAAACGTGGAATTGCTTCTCTCTCATTTATGCTATGATCTAGTGTTTAAACTATTAAAACAGATTCAAACGCTAATGTTAATGTTTAAAATGCTGGAACTGTTAAATGACAGAAATCTTGAAAAATGAGCAGAACATATTTCAGAGAAAAGAATAAATAAAGAAAGTAGTATTTAAGAGAGGGCTAAATTCCTCCAAATAACATCACTGTCTAGTTGATCTGGTGTGGTCTCCATCAATGATAGGGGCTACTATTTGTGTCTCATGCTTTACAGGATTTGCGGTACGCCACAAAGTAGAAGTTGTCAAATCAAATTATCACACTTTTAGCTATCACCCATCCTGCAGTGTAGATTTCTATGCTCTAGTTCTCTATCTTAGTGACAGTTGCTTGGCTACTATAGTCATTCCCTTTAGTGGCCTTACTGAAGCACAAGATATCTGACTGCATAATAAGATCCTTCCTTGCCATGTTGCTTGTAAATACAGTCTGCCTCTCAACGGAGTGTCCCAGACAGCGGAAAATAGGAGATCTGAAACAGGAACAGAGTTACACAAGATACACATACACATCCATCTTGTAGCTCAAATAAATATATCCAAATTACCAGACATACTTCCAACAGAGACAAGGAGGCTGCTGAACTCAACAGAATATATGCTGAAAAAGCAGTATAAGTCTACTCACCAAAACAATATTTTCAACATAGGCTACGAAGCAAAATAACGGTAACATTAACAGTGAAATAATTTTAACAATTAACCCATTTTTCTGCAAATATATGCTTACACTACCGTTCAAAATTATGGTCATAGTAAATCAAAAGTCATAGTAAATACATTATAATGTTACAACACATTTCTATTTCAAATAAATGCTGATCATCTGTGTGATAATAGTAGCTAAAATTCAGCATAGGAATAAATTACATTTTAAAACACAGTATACAAATAGAAAACAGTTGAATGTTGGTTTTCTTTTTTGCTCAAGTAAATGCAGCCTTGTTGAGAAAAAGAAACTTTTAGCAGTTAAGATACTGTACACTCTGGGAATAGTGATTTTGTTTGTGGGTAAATTAATTACCAATCAGATTTAAATGTGATCTTCCTCATGTAAATTAGATTTCGCAATAATCCAATTTGCAATAATTCTCTATGGTCACCACCAGATAACCATCTTATAATTTACAGATTATTAAAATAAACTTTGAATAACACTTTATTTTCTGTATAGAGCTGTAGTTCTGTTATGCAGCAGAAATGTCCATGTTAAAGCAAACTGTGCGTTTGCTATTGTTACAGGCGCAGGATACATACTGGAATTATAACATAAAAGAAAATGCAAAGCTTGATCGAACATGCTCCCACCACCGAAATGCTGTATAGCTCTTTAAATTTGGAGGGAGGGGACAGGAATGAGCTAATTTCTTTAATTAAACCTGAGATGTATTCATACAACTATGTCTGTCTGTGGCATCAACAGTGTCGTATATACCTGGCATTCTGCCACATGTGCCTGAAGCACTATCCAAATGAACATATTCTTTAGCTCTGGCTTTGAAATGTATATGTTATGTCTAAAACACACACAAGGATGCACTGTGCAAAAGGTCAGGAAGCATAAAATGACCCGAGTGTCCTGCATCCAGGCCTCGACCTTATCCATGTAGAGAAGTGAGATCCTAAA